GTTATTTTTGTAAAACTGACTTAAATTACTTAAATAGTCAATCGAAATAAAATAAATATAAAAGGATGTTTAAAACAGCAATAAATGTATCAACTAATAAAATATAAATAAGCATTACCAATTATAATTTATAAATATATTTTCTGAAATTACGTCGGATATTGTTAGTGCGAAACCCGTGTAGCCTCATCAAAAATATTTTCGATAAACACCGATGAAACATTAGTAATACACCATACATAAGTTATAAATTGACAATAAATCAGGGCTTGAAACCGGTATTTGATACCGTTTTTGAATACTGTTAAAAACCAAATCGATATATAAAACGAAATCAATAACAGTATTCAAAACTGAAATCAAAAACGAAAAAAATCAATAACAGTATTCAGAACCGAAATCAAAAACGAATAAAATCAATAACGGTAATCAAAATCAAAATCGAAATCTTAAAAACTAAATACCAATATTCGAAACCAAAAACGAAATTGTAAAAACAAATACCGTCATCCGAAACCGAAATCAAAATCAGAAAAAAAATACATATTTTTCGTGGTATGTGCATTTTATTTTTGTTGTACAATAAATATGATTGCTTCATTTATAAATTAAGAGTTATACGAATTACAAAGAAAAAATATCTTTAAAGGTAATTGGTACAGTATAATATTTAAAGTATGTAATGTTATTTTACATAGTATTAATTGCTAAATACTACATTTGAAAACGTTTCAAATTTTACACTAATTGAAATTATGCAAAACGCTAAACGTAAAACGCTAAATTGTTCATAATGTTTTAATTATCAATAACGGTAAACGGAAAATATTATAAACGTTTAAATTTGAGAGCCTGGGCATTAACGAGTTAATAAGTTAATTTTAACTTATTAACTTAACTCTTTTCCTTGCAAATTAACTTGAAATTAACGTAATTTTTTTTTAATTATTTTTTATTTTTTCAAGTTAATTTTGATTTTCAAGACCAGAAAAATATTTTTGTAAAATACCGCATTCCATAACAAGTTTATGGAATTTGGAAAAATATAAAAATAAAAATTACGAAGAATTTTCAGATGAGATAATACTATTTTATATCAGTATTAACTATTAATTAGGGTCCCACCGATCTCGGGAATAGTATACAACCATCTTCAGATCATTGAGTAAAAATAGCCGTATCACCCATGAATTACATTACCATTGAAAAGTAGCCGTAAATCATTATTACAAAAATAAGTACATATTATCATAGACTAAATAATTCTTAATAATTTTTGTACTCTATTATTATTAGAATTATTCCATAATCTATAATATTATTAAATAAGTTTGATATTTATTTGGGCTGAAACGAATATCGAAGAATCAGTCACAATGACACAACACAAAAAAAATATTGCAAAAATAAAAATAAAAATAATAATGTGGTGGGTGTCTAATATGATACGTATAGGCAATTTTACAATTTTAAACGCTGTACTTTTTGTAGGTAGTTAACTCGATGTAAGCGATGGACCGATAACGTTCGGCGGTGCCAAAAAGGAACGGGATCAATTTAGTTATTCCCGGTAGAACAGGAAATAGAGTTTAGTTATCGGGATGGAGGTCTTTGTAATTAAATCGGTCAGGTGCAATGACCACAAAGCTCACGTCTAATCGGATAAAACACTAAAATTAAACAATCAGGCCACGACTTACAACTAAGACTTACAACACGAAAAATACTAGCGCGAAGATGGTAGAACGAATAAATGGCCAACAGTAACGGAAGACATCACAAATGACGGATGAAACGCAAACTTGATTGAACAATGACGAGAACCTCACAGTTGATTTGCGTAAGTAGATCAAGAAATCATGGAGGCGTCAAGTAGACAATAATTCACAAACATTTTGGTGTTAGTAATTAAATAATTTATTAGGAACATGTTGCAGTATTTAACATATGTTGCCGTAATGGCATATACTAATAAAATAAAATGTTATTTTAATATATTAAAAAATATGTATAATAATAATGATGTTTACAGTAGCAATTTTGATGAAACATTAAGTACCCCCCCTTGATTAGCTATTAAATTGGCACCCACTGGCTATTTTAAATTTTTTTGGTTTTTTTGGCACTCACCATAATTTCATATATCAAATAAAGAATACAATTGGTTTATGGTCATATAATAATTAATTGACATATAACTTTCATTTTTTATTTCATAATTTAAATATTTAGTTTTATTGGAATCTTTATAAAGTTACAGCTTCTGAATCATTCTTACCTATAACTATACACATAACGTTATATAAAAATATAGTAAAAAGTCCATTGATTTGGCTATAATCTAAACAATATTACATTTACATGGTATAATTCACATACGAGTAATAAGTGCCGCAACTACAAAATAGGAGGCTCGTGTGTGGTAATCATATTATTAGATTTTAATAAAATTAAATATTATTATATATTTTTATTAAATGTTTTTTTGTATCAACTATATTTATTGTATATGTATATATTATATATATTTTAACTATATTTATTACCGGTATAATTTTAAAGTTATACATTCAGCTGGAGTAATTTTTTTCAATTTTCATACTGTTATTAAACATTAAAAAGAATACTTTTTTTTAATTATATTTATCATATGTGATTTGTATAAAAAATGAATAAAAATAAGCAATACGTAAATTACCATTAATTTGACATTTGCGTGCTTAAAAATAATTTTAATAAAGAAATTTATATTTTTCTACTCTAATTAGAGTCTAATAAGATTTTTCTGCGTTTTCATTATCGTTAATGTTGAATAAGATCTGTTGTAAATTGTTTATATATATATATATATATATATATCACTTAATTTAATTTTTTTTTTTTTTTTTGTAATTAACTTAACCTATTAATTGAAGTTAAGTTAAATTAACGATATTTTTTAACTTAATTGATGTAATTCTCATGTACATTAACTTAATTGTACATGAACTCAATTAAATTAACTTAACTGAGTTAAAAAATATCATTAACTTGCCCTGCTTCGTTATTTTGTATAACTTTAAAGTCTTAAATTGAATAACGTTTAAATTATTTATATCGTTAAACACTCAATTGCTTATAACGTTCAAATGTTCCATAACGGTAAACAATATAAATTATTTTGATTTAAGCCCTGTTCAAAACACTGACAGGTTTTAAAAAAGAACTACACAAAAGTCGATTCTAAATGGATCCGGCATTAGATAAAAAAAAAAAAAATACAAATATTAAGGATTCACTTGATTTAAATATTATCAATAATTTTACTTGTAAATTTTGAGCATAAATTAAAAAGAAAATTTGAGTCACCCCCTTACCCCATCACAATAAGTAAGTCTAAATATACCCCTGGTTGGTATACATATAATTCGTAACACGTTTGCCACATTGTGAGTGTCACGTTTAAACTTTACATTTAAAGCATTATTAATTGCTTGATTGACTTAAGAATTCGGATCGTACATTGAACTATGTATATTTTTATCTTTTACTAAAAATTAAAATGAAATTTTTATATGGTATAAATAGTTTATCAAATAAAATTAAAAAACCACAATCTTATACACATAAAAATTATTTTTTCATATAAAACAATACAAATTAAAATAAAATTTAGTCTAAAAATAAATATAGTCATTGTTTAATTTATCATTTAAGTTGCATTGACTAAATTAAGTATTTGTTCAATTTATATTACGTCAGCGCACTCAATGTTACGTATTTGATCTACGAAATTACTTAAAATAGACAATTTATTTTATTTTCGAATTATTTTCGATTTGTGGTGTAAATATAACTAATCATGTATCCTCTCCCACTTGTCCATCCTAAAGGGATTTCCACCACAACAGAAAATTTGAAGTTTACATAATATCCATATATTTGTGACATGAGAAATCCAGACCTACACTTATTGAAAATCCTTCACAGTGTTTAACAAATCATTGACAAATGAAAATCTAAAATAACATTAAAAAATATATAGAATGGGGAAGTACTTAGCAGTGCCACCCGACAAATTATATTATTAAATCTCTTTAAATAAAATATTAATTATTATTAAGAAATTCAGATATTCATTTTGATAATTGAAAAATTATATTTTATTAATGAATATAAAAAAATATAGGGGCAGTCTATGAAAACGTTGACTTATAATAGGAGGGGTAGTCATTATCTAAATAATGATGATATGGGTTGGAGTAAAAATGTAAAATTTGCTGACGTAATACTTGAACACAAGTATACATATATAAGTATATATATACTTAAAATATAAAATATTAGAATGTATATACTTACTTATATTTAAACCTAATATTTTATGCTATAAGAAAGTTAGCATCTCAAATTTGTTTAAAGAAAAATTTAAAAAATATCCAGCAAAGTGTAGCAACTTCAAATAATTTCCTTGGTCTATACGTATACAAATCCTAAGCTCTACTAGATCGATAAATAAAATTTAATTAACATGACAATTTTTAAATGTATAATAAAATAACTTTATATATTTTCTAGATACATTTAAGTATGTTGATGAAATGTACCAAGTTATGCCGCCAAAGGAACATGAAAGGTATTTTTTACAAGTTGAATATATAGCATCAAAATCGCAAATGATCGAAATACAAATTTCAATTACAGAAAAAACCACTTTGACTTTTATTTCTTTCACTGTACATGCAGTTAAGGATAACATTTAAATATATTCAAAATGTAATAATTTGAAATATAGTATTATTCAATGCTCCCTCATATTGAAAAATCACAATTATGTCGAGTGTTAAAAATTAAAATAACGTATCTGTCATCTACTGACAGTTTCACGAAGGAGTAATTAATGTATTAATTATAAGATTTGGTTACGTGCTAATATTAATGTTATTATTATATCATATCGTGATTACAATATCATCGGTGCAGCGTAGATAAACTTCAACGGAGAAGTCAAGGAAAGGTGTTTCTCGTGCAGCGTGCAGTCGGCTTGTCATCATCGTGCCAATATAGTGTTCGTCGGTTGTTTTTTATAGTTTTTTTTTTAAATCAATATTATAAAATAATTACATTAAATATTATTGTGCAATAATTAAAATACTTCAATCCACTATATAATAAATGCATATTTCCACAAAAGTATAAAAAATAATTGGAGCGTACAAATAATAATTCTTACCTACTACTGACAAACGTCTAGAGACAACAAATCCAAGTGGTTGAAAGATATTCCTTATCAGTTATCACAAGATATAAAAATGCGTTATAAATTAAATCTTTTAAACATGTTTAATAATTAATCCTTACAACCAAACAGACAATTGTTAATATTATATACGTATATATGTAATTTATTTAAATGGTTGTCAAGTATTGTGTTACTGTATAAAATATTTATTATTTTACTGTTGATAAATGCAACTATTGTCATTTAGTAGGACCTACTCCAAATATGATTTAACTATTTTATCACCTATCCTTAACTTAATGATAAACCTTTGTTATAATATTGTAAAACATAACATTAGTGATATTACTCATATGTATATTAGTATTAGTAATTAGTAAATTAAATTAATTTTAACTATATATTAATATCTTTTGTCATTTAAATTAAATTACAATAAATTTAAATTAAACAACTCTATCAAAAATAAATAATCATCTAAAACGGCATCAATAAACTATCGGATAGTTACATTATCATTATTTAATAAACACATTTCATTTATATCAAAATAACCTCCATATTCCTAATTGATTTCGGCTAACATCACACAAATGTCAAAAGATAACACCATAAATATTACATTATTAATATTAGGACATTTTCTGAAATTGTAAAACAATTATAATAACTATCAATAAATGACGGTAAGAAGGGCAATCTTGTCAATACTCCAAAGAGCATAAATAGGCCTGTCTCGCCAGCAATAGATCGATCGGCTACTGGTCACCATATGAAGGGAATCAACACGTTTTCATTTGAACGCCTGCGGAGTATTGACGAGATTTGTCAATCGTATCTAAATTTTAAATATTTCTAAGTGCGTTTAATTATTTTAAAATATTTGTCAACTCAAAATCTATATGTTGTACAAGAAGTGAAATAAAGGTAAGAATTAAAGAAATTCACTTTTAGAACTCTTTAAGTTAATCTTATATTTTATCCTTTTTCTATATTACTACACCTTGAATCCATGAATCTAGAATTTCGAAATCTTAGACTTAATTAAAATTGAATTTTTATTACTTCTAGAAACATCTTGCTAAAATATCATATTTTCAATATTCGGTAACTAAATTCTCTAAAACTTTTACAGTTTTAACACATACAATTATAAAACGTCAATCTCTGGCTGAAACGTTTGCAAAAACCTAAGATACTAATCTTGGTTTTGCTGATGACAGTACCACAGTTATCTCTCTGTATACTCCGTATAACTATCTCCAGTGAAATAATAACCTGTAGTGGTGAAAAATTGTCACATTTCTTTAAACCGGTTACAACTTGGAATTCTTCGGATAATACGTTGTCGAATCTTATTTAATATTTTAGATCGTTATGCATACTTTTGTCAAGGAAATAAGCTTATTCGATAATTAAAATGTTACGTCAGTTTAAATATTAAAGTAAACTAAACAATATTAAAACATAAAAGAAAGAACATTATCTATGCCTTTTCGTAAGTTTTTGAACGATATTTTAATCTTTAATCTAGTTAGGAGTATGTGAAATACAATGAAATTATAATTTAAAAAACTCATAACGTGCTTAAAAACTTAGACATCGCAAAAAAACCTACCAACCAAACGTATATAATATTCTACCCTTGATGTTTAACAATAGGAGGTATTTTTACTGCAAAATAAAAAACTAAGAGCACGTTTGAATTACTTAACTTATATTTATTATGTTATACGAGTACGTATGGAAAACTGAGACAAAACCTACAGTTGTGGTCTTCTTTCTACATTCATGGCCCAACACAGCTCCATATTATTCATATTATTATCAGAGTTCTCCGCATATTTATATATAATTATACGTGTAAATCAGTTGATAAAATAAAAAATAAAGTAAGAGTTAACCACGTATCTATGGAAGTTAATATATATATATAGAAAGCGCATTTTTTAAGATAGTTGAGTTTTCTTCAACAATATATATTTTCTATAGAAATATTTAAATAAATATATGAATGCGTAGCTCATTTATTTATTTATTTATTTATATAAATTATGTATTTATTATGTATATTAATTTACATAATATTATATAAAAAAAGTATCTAAATTAAAAAAATTAGCTGCGATTAATTGCGATTGTTTCGAAAGGAATAATTATAATATAGGGACAAGTTAATAGACCATGGTAATATTTTTATCTACATCTTTATCTTTCATAAATTATATATAATTTTATTTATAAATTTAGAACCATCAGGTCTGAATGTTGTGACTATAGGTCATTCATTTAGTATTAAGAAAAGTTTTGAAGGAGAGATCCATGAAAAATGAAACTGTCTTGATGATTATTTACTGAAAAAAGATTCATTTTCAGATGATCAAAAATTAAAATTAAAAAAAGTTACCTTACTTTAAATTTGAATTTAAAAATCGATGGTCATATGCCAACCGACGAGATAAAACATTCCGAACACAAAATGAAAATTGGCTCCAGGGGTGTTTTGAAATATCAGTTGTAATTTTCAGACCAGGACGACAAAAATCGAAAATCTTCTATCGAAAATAAAGATTTATTATAAAAACGAAAAACTGAAATTCAAGAAGAGTTTAAAAACTAGTTGGGACTCATTGCAGATGTACCAAAAGCAGAGCTTTGCACCCGAATTAACCCGAGCCCGTAACACCCCTAAAAACCCTTAAAAAACAAACACCCGAAACCCATATAACCCGAATTATTTTTTATTTTACAATCTTTATGTGACATATCATTTTGTATGTATTTTTTGTAGTTATTTAAATTTTGTCATTAGTTGTTTAATAGTAAAATTATTATTCACACGAATAATTTCACAAATACAATAGAACTTTGATAAGTCGAAATTCAAGTGAAATGCAATTTTTTTCGACTTATCGAGGTTTTGACTTACCAAGATTTTAGAAAAAAAATTCGACTTAAAGAGTTTTTAAAATGTATGTATTTATTAAAGTTTTTAAGTAGTATTAAATACAATGCAAAAAAAATGTGATTATGTAGGTTATTTAAATTTAAAAAAAATCATCACGAAAAAAATATAATAAATAAAACATGTGGTGCAACTTTATAATAGATAATTTGTTATTTTACTTTGACTAAAAATTTGAGATTTTTTATTATCAATAGCATTTTTTACTACAATTAAAGCAGGATACACTTTATCATCCACATTACTTAATTGTTCGGTGAATGTCCTTAGCAATATTAGTGCTGCTACTGCTTGCTTCATTGAAACACGATGCACAGGCTCAGTTGATGCTTCTTCGACGTCATCAACATCTTCAGTGCCACGAACGGAGTCAGTTATATCGTCATTTGTCAGAATACCAGAAACGACAACGTCATTATCGATTTCAACAAAATCATCAAAGGTTTCTTCTGCGATTTCATAACGATTTGTTATCCGCGCCCATTTTCTGTCATCCGTATTAGGTATTAAGTGCCGTCTTTCTCAGCTTCAAGTACAAATCCACACGATCTAAAGCAGTTCACGATTGTTGTCGTTGTTACGTTTCTCCAAATTTTATCAACAATGCGCATAGCTTGAAGAATATCGACTGCTGTAGATTTTTCGTCATCCATATCACTTATAATTTTCCTTACTATTTCTTTTTTATACAGTGTTGTGAACGTTTTAATAATTCCTTGATCCAAAGGTTGCAATTTTGAAGTGGTATTTGGCGATAAAAATTTTACTTTTACAGCTTGACAAGTTGGTATAATATTATGAGCCGAGCAATAGTCTATAAACAATAAAATTTTACGTTTTTGTATTTTCATTTGTTTTTCAATTCGTAATAGCCATTCCGTAAACAATTCACTAGTCATCAATGTCTTTTTATTTGCTGTATAGCCAATGGAAAAAGATTTAACACCTAGGTTTTTTCGATTTTCCTATTATTAAAGGTTTCAGTTTATCTGTACCAGTCATGTTAACAGCCAATAATAGTGTGAGTCGTTCTTTGCTATGCTTACTACCGTTACGTTTCTCATTTTTGAATGTTAAAGTTTTATCTGGCATACATTTGTAAAAAAGTGCAGTTTTGTCTGCATTAAATATATCACATGGTTTATATCATGGGTCACCAAATGGCGGCCCGCGAACAAATTTTATCCTGCACGCAGACAAAAAATAAAAACACACATATTACGACAACTTTCTATGTTTATAATATTTATAATTAATTATGTTCTTAATGTTTAAAAACAATAGCAAATAATAAATTAAATAAATAATGTTTTCATTACATCCAATTTTAAAATAATATCTATTGTCCTATTATATGTTGAAAATATGTACATAAAATTTTAATGGCCCGCGAAACATTTTTAAATTCCTAATGTGGCCCTTCAAAAATATTAATTGAGGACCTGGTATTCCAAATTCTTCGGCGAGTTCCTTCTTCTTCCTTCCACTTTTCACTACTTTAAAAACCATTTGTTTCTCTGCAATAGTAAGCGTTTTTAAATTACGAGGCATTTTTACATTCATTACCGCACATAGACCCCGCACACGCGTAACCGATCGATTGCAACTGGTAATACCGATATAAATGAAAAATACTGTTGTGTGCCGAGGTTAGTTTATACATACGATGATAAACACAATAAACGCGATTAGAAAAAATCATCGGAACGTATAGACGAATTTTTAGTGTTGGGCGAGTATTGGTTTTTTGAAGTCGAGTCGAGTCAAGTCGAGTTTTAATTAGATCGAGTCGAGTCGAGTTCAAAATTCGAGTACTTGAAAAATATCGAGTACTCAAAAAAAAGTCGAGTGCAAGACAATACCCGAGTTTTAAAAAAAGTCGAGTACTCGAAAAAAGAGTTCAGTATTAGACAATTCCCGAATATTAAAAAAAATTAAAGTACTCGACAAATGCCAAGTAGTCGAATACAAACTTTTTTCATACAAATCTCACCCGGAGTCCTGACAATTACGAACACAACCAAAAAAAAATCACCCAAATCGGTATATCTGTTCTCAACGATTTTTCATACATGCAGCAATTGATTTTTAGGTTACTATATTTGGGTTCTCTCAGTTATTTGTAATTTCAACATTTTATAATTATTTTTAAATAATATAGTGAAACACTGAAACGAGTACTCGATTCAATTCGAGTGTTTGGTTCAAGTCAAGTACTCGATTCAAGTCGAGTACTCGTATTTACGAGTAAAAAAATTTTTTTTAGTGGAGTCGAATCGAGTACTCGAACTCGACTAGAAAATTTTTCCTAAGTCGAGTACTTCAACAACTCTACAAATGTTTATAAAGCTATCCGTCATCATCCGTCAATATTCAGAACACAATATGTTCGAATTATCTTTAGTTATTTTTTCGAGTAATCGAGGTTTACACAAGGGAACAGAATTCTTTTCGACTTATCAAGGTTTTCGACTTATTCAGGCTCCACTGTAATATACAAAATTGTTAATTAATCTAAATTTATTTAAATAAAGACAATAGCAATATATCATATTGACAGGTCTGCATAAATGGTATTGTATGTTGAATGTTTAAGTGTAAACAACTGGGATACTATTTTTAAAATTATCCCAAGTGGATATTTTGTATTATTATAATTTAATAGGTTATAGGTCTTCTACGAATAACTGAGTTGTTATTTAATGCAATACTGTAAGTCTGAAATAGAATTGTCTCGCGTATGATTACCTAAATTGTTGATCGCGTTATTCGTATTTGTTCAGTGTATGGTGTGTACTACACATGTCTATGGAGTGAATTGTCAATTTTTGTTGGTGTAATAATTTCATCGTAACATTCATAAGTACAAATTATTATTATTTTTGTATTACACTATGTCCTAGCTAGTGCGTTTTTAGTGTGTCCACGCACCACAAACACAAACGCAGAATACAAAATAGTTTGTTTTTTGTCGCATGCGATATGCATGCCCGCACTAACTAGGAGTATGACATAGTGTTAGTATTTTTAATTTTAATAGATATTATAATTTATAAGCTTCAACCACATATAAAATAACACCCTCTTCCCCGAAAATAAATCGTAATTACACCATTGTCATAATGATGGTCTAAAAAACTGTTGTACAGTTGTATAAGAAATTGATATTTTATAACATAGGTAGGTAATAAAAAATATAAATATTTCATTAGTGGAGTGAGGGAGCTCAGCTTTCACACCCCCCTCCACCAACGCAAAGTAATATTTTTCCTTGATTACTAAACACCCGTGATAACCAATATTAACACGAATAATAACGGTTATTAACACCCAAACGTTTGTTTAAATGTTGTATTGCGGTGTTTGAACACCCGAATATATTCAACACCCGAAACCCGAAACCCGAAAAAATTATTCGGGTGCAAAGCCTTGACCTGGATTTGGAAACACTAATGACGATAATACCACCCAAAGGTTTTTAATAATAAAAAATTACAATAAAATAATACTTTTTATCGTGTACAACACAATGTGTGCTGAGAGTTGTTTGCATAAAAAATTGTCTAAACCAGTGTTTTCGAAAGAATGCGCCGTGAAATTATAAAGGTGAGCCGTGAAGGCATTTTTTATTTTAAGACTCCTGAAGTACTTAATTTTGACGAATAGACAATACCTTTGTCCAAAGTATTCCGAAATAAAGTTAAGTTTGGAAACTGCTTGTATAAATGCTGACTATAATTCAAAAGGTGCACACAAGGTATGTTTTAAATTTCGGTATCTACATTAGAAGGATAGTATAATACGTATATAAATCGACCTTGTTACATATATGCAACTCATGAATTCTGCACTACTTATAAATTCTCAATTTACACAAAGCTGTTTCAATTTCGGCGGAATAAATTGCGGTGAACGCTAGTACGTGAAACGAAAATTTTACTTATCCTGGGCATACACAGGATCCACCAATACAAAACATCTCAATCGCGAACGAAAACTTCCGATTACAGCACATTAAAAATACATGGAAACTTACCGAAATATATATACATCGTAATCGGAAGTTGAATTATTTATTTCGTAATTAATGTAAATAAACAAAAGTTTTATAAAACAGGGTTAAAACATAAGTACCCGATAATTATATTGACTATTTTATTTTAATAAATTTGATAATTTTATGTACAACAGAAACATTCACTAATGCGATAATGCGACACTGTTAACTAGTGCTCTTGATATCCGAGTACTCGAGTACCCTGGTTTTACGGGTATTGTCTGATTTACAAAATGTCTGGTACCCATTATGGTTTCTATACTCATTATTTATTTAGCCAATAGGCTACAGTTATCTCAAAAATGTGTACACAAGATGATTTAAATTTAAATCGTTTAATAGAGCAAATAGAGCTCAGGGAGCTATACACTTATAAATTTCGTTATTCTTTCTTCTAAGACTTGAAATTAATTTCTTTTTTTCTTTAAAATGTCCGGAATTTATATTATTTAAAAGACCCTAAAGTCTTTATAAATATGTTTTACATTTGTATGGACACACAAGACATAAATATATACTGTACACCAAGGCCGTAACTAGAAATTTTTTTCGGGGGGGAGGGGGGTCCAAAACATATATATATTATATTTTATTGAATTCAAATTTTGACTTTTGATTTTTGGTTAAAAATAAGACTTGATAGTTTTCTTTTATTACAATATAATAAAATTAAATAAAAAAAATTACTTTGACATCTTGTCACGTAAGATTTCTATATAATACGCGCGTTGGTTAGAAGTATGTGATTATTATTATTAAACGCTATAAAAATATCTAAAAACATTCAATGATTAATTGGAGCTAAAGTCATTTTTGACTGAAAACATTTATGTTGGTATTAGAGATGGGTAAAATTGTTTGAACGTCGATGTTCGATGTATCGGTGAAAAGCCATTGATGTTTAAGAATATCAAAGTTTAAAAACATCGAAAATATTTATTTTTTGATTTAGAGCTGCCATCTGTTGCACACATTATTATCTATACAGATTAAATAATAAATTTAAGAGTTAAAATTCTATTGTTTAACTTATATTTTTTAAAAACATAATACTTATAAACAGGGCTCGTAAGTACATGCATTTGCATGTTTTCTTTGCTACATCGGCTACATCGGAAAATATGCTAATTGAGATAAAAATTCGTTTCATAACAATGGTAATAAAAATCTAAAGTTTAATAGAACATGTTTTTGCATGATTTTAGTAGTTTATAGTGTATTGGTATATTTGGCATATAGTTGTTTTTTTTTTTTTTTATTTATTAGCACATATTATTTGATGTAAATTCAGTGAAATCGTTTTTAGTGGAAGTAAAAAAAAATTAGATGAATAAATGTTTGAATTCATTCTCATTTACTATTCCAATCTTGTTTATAAAATCTTAATATTTTTATTTTTTTAATGACATTAAATTGTATAAGTTAAAAGCAGTACCACGAAAACAATGTTATTGCGCACCATTACCACTCTCCTCCAATTGAAGTATCCATTGCAATCAATCTATTTTCGTCGAAACATTTGTTCATTAATTATAATTTTAACAAAATGTAACCGAAGAAAAAATATAACTTTTAAAAATATAAATGGATAATTCTTATTATTTTAAAAAATCTTTAAACGTTTTTTTTTTCGTGTATAGTTAAGGATTTTTAATGCATATTAGATGAAATATTAGTGCATTATTGCATGCTTATTTATGAGTTTTTTTAGTGCATAAACTTACAAGTCCTGATTAGAACTGTATAATGTATACTGAAAAAAGTATTCGAACTTTTCGAACATAAACATCGATGTTTAAGTTCAAACATTTCGATCATAAACCTCGATATTTAATCGATTAACCGAAAACAAATCATCAATGTTGAAACATCGATATATCGACCAAAAACTCGATGTTTTTGCCCATCCTTAGTTGGTATTAAAAATAAATAATTATTTTAAACATTTGTAAAATATTGAGTAAAATTTCAGGAGGAGGGGGGTCCCAATGAAGTGGGTCCTACTTAAACTTAACAATATTATAAATAATATTTTTCCACTGTTGTTAAAATATTAGAAATATCATAATGTTTGGCTACATTGATAGACTGTTATAACACATAATAAAAACAGCTCCTAAAAGTTTTTTAATATATGATGACAACGTGCGAGGTATAATTTGCTACCAATTTCTTCTTCGATTCATTTACATGCTCCATTTATTTATCCTTATTTATCCTGTATTGATGTCTGTTGTGTTAAATGGTAATGATTGAACGCGATTTGTTATGCCCCAATAAAATAATGACACAATAACAGCATTTGACATTGTTTCTCCAGTTTCAGATTCAAGCTTTGGAATATTGAGAAGCTTACTTACTCCATCTCCAGTTACTAGAATAGAAAAACGATCAACATTATCTGTACTAGTAATAGCGAGTAATATTTTGCCATCCCAGTGCACAGTTAGAACATAATTCGGATTAAAAGATGCTTTTATGTTATCGAAAACTT